GCTGGTGCTGATCAACACGCCCCCGGGTGCGCGGCTGGGCGGGACGGGGAGCCGCCTGCGCCGGAGGGCGGGAGCCAGAGCCGGGGCTGAGGCCGTCCTCTCTCCGCAGGTGACCAAGAGAAGGGAGAAATGGGGCTGGGGGCCGTCCCCGGGAGACAGGCGGCCTTCCGCGAGGGGCTGGAGCAGGCTGTGCAGTACGCCAAGACTCTGGGCTGCCCCAGGTACCTGACCCCTCGCCCCCTCTGTGACCCACTCCCCTGCGGCTGTTCAGGGTCAGGGAGAAGAGGACTCCAGGTCTCCACCAGCCCTTCTCTGCCTCCGTAGTCCTGGTCCTTTGCCAACTGCTGTTCGTAGTTACCTGTCACGTGTCACCATTTTGCCACTTTCATGCCCATCCCATGCTGGATCCCGTGCCCGGTGACGGGCTGACCAGGGCTGTGCTGGTGGGAGGGCGGCCTAGCCAAGAAAGCTGTGGCCCGGGGAGGTGCCCAGGAGAGCTGCCCACAGATGGGAGGCTCGCTGAGTCAAAGAGTAGGCTTTGCGTGATGGGCAGATGGTGCTGTCCCGGGTCAGGGCGCTGTGTGGGGGCCAACAGAATTGTGGTGTGGCCTTCAAGGGCTGGAGCTGGAGCTGTGGCAGGTGGGAGGGCTGGCATATCTGCTTGAAGTCCGATGTGGCTGAGAAAAATCAGCCGGTGATGGGAGGGGGTGGAAGGCTCAGAGTGGGCCCATCAAATGCCCAATCCTGCAGAGGTCAAACAGGCCCAGCAGGGACTAACAGCAGCAGGTCATCTGGTGAGGAGCCATGGGGCAGAATGGGAAGAGGCTAGGACACTGATGGCAGGAGAGCCCGTAGAGACCAGCTGCACGCAATGCTTGGGAAGGGCAAGGGTCGCGCTGATTTTTTTTTTTTGGAGAGGTTTTTTGCTATAGGGCGCGCTCGCCAGACAGAGAGAGATAGAAAGTGAGAAATCACCCCCAGGGGGGATTGGCCACGGCCACAATGCCTTCTCCTTCGCCTTCTCCTTCGTTCTCCTCTGGGATCTTGGGCATGCATGCACACGGGGTGGCGCTGATTTTTAAAGATGACTTAAGCATGCGCATAGGCTGAGGTGGAGGGCCAGGGCAGGGGCTGAGGCCCTGGAATCCAGCCTGAGGCTGACACAGCCCTGCCTGACCCTCTGGCTTCAGCATGGTGGCTCAGAGGCCACATGAAACTGAGGGGTGATCTGCCCACAGAATTCACCTGATGGCCGGCCGCATACCCCGGGGGGCCGATCGCTCGGTGGTCAAGGGGGAGATGGAGATGGTGTTCCTGGAGAACCTGAGGCATGCAGCTGGGGTTCTGGCTCAGGTGAGACAGCTGGAGATGTGCACTTACACATCGTGTGTGTGTGTGTAAGAGGGTGCACAGTGCAGGGGACAGATGAGGCATGAGGCTGGGCCCAGGTTGGGGAGACGGGTGAGGGTGACCTGTTCTGGCCAGTGGGGAGCAGCTGCAGCCAGTGTCCAATGCCGTGCTAGGAGAACCTCGTGGGATTGCTGGAGCCCATTAACACCCGCATCACCGACCCCCAGTACTTCCTGGACACGCCACAGCAGGGTAAGCCTTCAGCCCGTGGCCCCTCCATCCCATCCCGTCCCACGCTCTCCTGAGCCTCACAGCCCCCTCCCTTGTTCTCCCCCAGCGGCAGCCATCTTACAGAAGGTGGGGAGACCCAACCTACAGTTACAAATGGTGAGTGGGAGGGGTGCTTCTTGTGCTCCCCCATGTGGGGAGAGTGGTGGTGGCCCCAGGGGCCTCCGACTGTAGCATTCTCTTCCCCAGGACATGTTCCACTGGCAGATCATGGACGGGAACCTGACAGGGAACATCCGTGAGTTCCTGCCGATCGTAGGTGAGGAGTCCCTTCTTGGCCCCTTCCTGGGCCCTCCTGCCCCTTCAGTCCCCCGTGTCTCCCAGGCCTTGGCAGGAGCCTGGGCCTCATGTGTGCCCCATCTTCCCCAGGACATGTGCAGGTGGCACAGGTCCCAGGCCGAGGGGAGCCAGACAGCCCTGGAGAGCTGAACTTCCCCTACCTGTTCCAACTGCTGGAGGATGAAGGCTACACAGGCTTTGTGGGCTGCGAGTATCGGCCTCGAGGTGAGGTCTGGGTGTGGCCCTGGGGAGGGAGGCCTGGAGGGACAGGTACTGACAGAACTGTTCTCTACTGCCTCCCTCTCCCCATAGGAGACACAGCAGAGGGCTTGAGCTGGCTCCGCTCATACTGGGACAGGCACGGTCACCCACAGGCTGGCCAGTGAGGTCCTGGACACCACCCACATCCCTCCCTGGACAGAGTGTCCAGTCTCCTCCTCTGAATTAAAGACCACCTGCTGCACGTTTTCATGTGTGTTACGGGGCGGGGGACACACAGTGTCTAACACTTCGCTTCTCTGGCTGCTTCCTTCCTAGCTGGAAGGGACGTGGCTCATGCGGAAGCCTCCAGTGGATGCCGGGGTTGCCGTGGAGGTGGAAGAGCTTCTGAGCCCACCTCCTCACTTAGATGAGAAACCGAGGGTTCAAGAACAAAGGGACTTGGCAGTGGTCACAGGTGCCTCAGGGACCGAGCTAGGATTGGAGCCAGGGTGTCAATGCAGTGGCAACGTCCTGCAGGGATGTGACGTGGGAAGTGGAGACCAGAGGGCTCCAGGGGGCAGTGGCTGACAGGGACCTACGGCTGGAGGCAGGCTCAGGCGGGCGAGGAGCTCTCAGGGCGAGTGCTTGCCGCTCGGTGTGAAGGACCCCACTCTCCAGCAGGCGGGAAGGAAGGAGCCCCTTCTGGAAGGGCTCTGGCTCCTGAGATTGGGAGCTAACCTGACCCTCTGCAGTCCTGGGGCAACAGACCCAAGACAGTCACAGAAGCTTGGGTGCCACTCTGTCCAGGCATGCCCTGGGCACGCAGAGGTCCACGCTGTGAGAGCTATGGCACACCAGTGGTCTAGTCCCTCAGAGGAGGCGGGTCCAGAGGGTGAAACAGGCTGTGTTGATGACAGACTCCAGGTGGTGGTAGGTGGAGACCAGCTGGGCAGGGGGACTCTCACTGTCCTGGGGCTGCACTGGGAAGGGCTCCCGGAAAACCACCGTCAGAGACTGGGGAGACAGCGGGGGTGGTGGTGAGAGGTCGGCCAGACCGGGGTGGGGGAGTGGGGGGGCAGGGAGCAGGGCTCAGGGAGGGTGGGCACCCGACCTCAGCAGGCTCTGAGGTACCTGGGGAATAGCCTCCCACTAGGCTGGCACAGAGCCCCCTGAGCTCACCGTCTTTCCCAAGTGGGAGTCCAGAAATACCAGCACAAAACAGTCGGTGAACTTCTGATTCAGCACGACCTGCAGCGAAAGATGAAACGGGGTGGGGAGGGAGGTCTGCCTGTCCTGAGAGGGCACCTCCTGCAGGACACCCTGTGGAGACTGGAGGATGGGAAGGGCCTGCTTCCATCACCACGATCCCAGCCAGACACGCGGTCACTCTGGACTGGGTCTCCAAGTTGAACCGTGTCCTCAGCCCTGCTGCTCTGCCAGTCGGCCTCTGGGCTGTGTCAGAATGAGGAGTTACACTTGCTTCCGGGGGCCTGCACGAACTGACACCAACCTTCATACCTGGCGTGATCCTGCCCTGGGTCTGACCTCCCCTGGGACTGTCCCGTGTCTGTCTGCTAATGCTCAGCCTGGGGACCGTCCCTGGGTGACTGCTCCCACAGTTCTGGTCCCCACCTATGACGGGGGTGAGGGTGTGGACCTCAGATCTAGCTCACCCTAGGCTGAACTATCACCCCTCCCCCAAACCCACTCCTTCAGCGTTCCCTCCACTCATGGGGACCCCCATCTGCCCACACCCACCTGTACTCTGCAGCCTTATCCTAACTGACCTTGGCCTTTCTGGGTTTGTACCTCCTGAAATGGATATTCCACACGAGTATGGTGTTGCAGGCCCCTCGCCAGCTACTTCTTTCTCATCTGAAATCTCTAGAACACCTCCCCTGCTGATCCATAGCTCTCTTCGGGCTCATTTCTTCCGTCTTTTTAATCCCCTGCACTCCTGCCTACCCTGGTAGCTCTTTTCTCTCTGCCTGTCCTGTACAACCAGGCTTTCAGACTTCAATGTGTTCACACATCACCTGGGACTGCTATTAGTAAAAGGCAGACCTTGGGTCAGCACCCAGGGGCGGGCCAAGGGTCTGGATTTCAGCAAGCTTCCCCGGACGCTAATGCTGCTGGTCTGAAGACTGTGCTTTGAGAACAAGGCTTCCCGGCCCCAGAGGTCCCTTCTGGGACAGCAGCCTCCAGGGCCAAACCCTGATAGAGTTCGAAAGCTCCCAGCTCTGTCACTTCCAGAGTGTGGCCCTCAGGATCTCAAGTCAAGGTTTGCGATCGGGAGAGCCTTGGAGGACCACACACTGCTTGCTGCCAGTGCGTGAAGGGGTTCCCACGTGTCTCTGTAGTCCCACCCAGCGAGGCCTGCCTCCAGGGTTGAGCTTGTTTGGTCTGGCTGGGGCTCAAGGGGAAATCTCTCATCTTGGATGGGGATTTCCGCTGCTTCCCCATTTAGAGGAGGGACAGGGGACTCACCAGGTACTGAGTTCCCAAGTCTGGGCTCTGGAAATGGCGACAGCTCTGGGGAAAGCGGCTTAAGAGGACCTTGATCAGGCTCTGGTACCAGGACACCGTCATGGACAGAAAGCAGTCCTGGAAGAGAAGGTCCACGGCCTGAATCCACTGTCCCAGTCCCCTTGGGACTCCCATACTATCTACCCCGGCTGCCTACAGAATTCCTGGCATCCACCCTAGTCCTTTTGGAGCTCAGTCCCTTACCAGCTGGGGGTCAATGTCCCCAATAGATTTAGCATGAACTGCTTCTAGGAGCTCCTCCAGCTCTGCCAGGGCCAGGCGCCCTCCAAGCCGCAGTCGGTCTGGTCCCGGTGGTTCCAGCAAGAAGAGGCGCTTCCAGAGGGTATCTCGACGGCAGTGCCCTCCAGCCAGCCGCACCAGCTGAGGCAGCCGTGCCCGGGCCATGCCTACCTCTGCAGCCAGCGGTGGGAACAGAGGAGCTGGGCCAGGGGCTAGGACAAGCCCCGAGGCCTCCCCGGGGCTACCAGGTAAGCCCCCAGGAGCCTCTGGCTCAGGAGGTAGTCTGGGTGGCTTCCGGAACCGGCGCATGTCAGCAGTAAGTCTGGGGAAGAGCTCGCGTTGGCTGGTGAGCACCACGAAGAACTGCAGCCTGGGGTGGATGGGGTAGGAGCGGAGTGGTCACAGCGAGAGACACACAGGGCAAGAGTGGCGGGTGGGCTGGGACATGAGCACATTCAAGGTAGGGATCTGCTGACTGCAGGACGTACCGCAGGATGTGCCGCTCGGCCTCTCCTTGCTCCTCAAAGGGTGCGGCACAGTGACAGACAAGCAGAGACACGTCAAAGTCATCCTGGTGGCGAAGTCCCTCGGAGTCCAGGTAGGAGCCAGAGCTGTGCAGAGGTGGCCATGGAGATGTTGACTCTGAGGTTCTAGTGAAACCAGCCTACCCCTTCTGCCCAAGAACACGGGCCTCCCTATTGCAGGTATGATCCCACCTGCAGCCCTACCCGTGCGCAGGCTGGATGGCCCTCCCAGCCCTACCTGTGCCACGCGGAGACCAGGGCATATTCATTGTGTTCTGGGCCCCCTGGCCGGGCCATCCGCAGTGGCTTCATGTGGTATGAGCTGGCGTGGTCAGCCACGTAGTTGTACAGCTGGTGGGCAGCAATAAGTGGTGTGGGGAGCTCCAAGGTCCCTAAAGAGCAAGTTAGAGCAGACAGCAGACACTAAGCCTGAGATAGACATACTGATGGGGGTGGCAGTCATCGCTAAGGCTCTAACTTGTAGGCAGAGTGGCTTTGCTTTCCTGGGGAGCTCCCGAGTCCCTGTGGAGCACTGGAATAGGATGGGAGTGGAATAGGATGGGAGTGGCTCAGAATGGCAGGCATACTACACGTGACATAGGGTCTGTGCTTGGATAGGACACTGGCTGTGAAGGGCTAAGACGAGACACGGGGCAGACACCTAGTGACATGGCAGAGTGGTATGTGGTGGTTAAGATGTGGGACCCCGGCCTGGAGACACCCTTGGGCACTGACCTTGGTAAATGTGATTGCGGCCAAAGTGGGGTCCATCAGGGTGGTGAGCCAGGAAGTGCCGCAGGAAGGTGGTGAGGTGGTAGCCGTGCCGCAGCACCAGCTGGGCCCCCAGCACGTGCTGGTGCACGAGGCGCAGGTGGAAGTCGTAGCTGAATGAGTGCACATGCATCAGGTCCCGCACCTTGTCACACTCCTCCGTGAACAGCATGGACAGCTGGGAGGCGGCAGTGGGGACTGGTTAGGGGGTAGCACAGGCTGCCCAGTGCACACTCCCTCCTTCAAGGGAAGGGGAGGCTCAGCAGATCGCCTGTGCTGCTGTGGCCTGGCAGAAGCCCCTCGGCCAGAACAGCCCCCATGGGAAGCCCTCCTGATGGCGACGGTGTCACTTTTGTGTACTGTGTTGTTTCTGTTTACATGACAGGAGGACCCTTTGGAGAGACAGGGCCTTTCTACTCTGGACCAGATTCCACAGTCCAGTTTCACTGGTACAACTACATGCCGAGTGTCTACCATGTCCCCACCAGCTCCTGTCCTGGGTGCTAGGGACACGCAGAGGCAATCATCCACCTGCCCTCAGAAGCTTACAGTCTAGTGGGGAGATACGACAACCATCAGTCAGGGTAAGGGAGTAAGTGACACTGTGCACTAGATCTCTTCTCGTTACGTACCATGCTTGGTGCAGGTCTATGCCAGTGAAAAAGAGCAACATGGAGACCTGGCAGACCAGATGAAGAAACAGAGTGGGAGGCCAGGTGCCTTTCTCAAGGACAGAGATGCTGAGCCGAGATCGGAAGCCAGGCTTCCCATTTCTTCATGTAGTCTTTGTCCCGGTCACTGACTTTGACTTTCTCCCTCAGAAATGGCTGTGAGCACGTCTGTGTTAGTATCCTGCATGCAGTTTTCTATAAACTCTGTACTGCCACCAACAGAACTTGGCTGGTCTAACACTGACTCAATGTCTGAAGCTCAGAAGCAAAGGCTTGGCTTGCTAGAGTCAAGTTGTGAGCCTCCACGTAAAGTTACTTCTGGGATTTATTGTTTTTCCTTTAATTTTGAAATTTGAATACTGAATCTTCAAACTTATAGATCTGCCTGGGTCATTTTAGTGTGGCTGAAGCGAGCATGTGCCCTGGATCCTTTTAAACTTTTGAAGCTAATCTACTGAGTTATGCTTGTATCACTTTGTTCCCTGGCCCATCACTGATAGAAGATTTTGGTTTGGATTTGTATTCTGTTCAATTAAAATCTGTGTAACAAACATAAAAAAAAATAAAAATAAAAAAGGAGGCGATGTTACGGAAAACCAAGCGATGATCAAGGTAGGCCGGGTGCGTGTTGCTTGTCAGCAAGCCCTCCCTGGCCCCTTCCCACCTCTCCAGCTTTCTCTGCCTGTCATGCTGCACGCTCTCCGCAGGACCACCATACACCATCCCCTCTGCACTCTATTCCTGTGCGCTTTGTCTGGAACGCTGCTCTCCCTGCCCCTAAAGCTGGCTAACCACCATTCTGAGTGCTCCATCTTGCACATTCTTCCAAGGCTACGCCGGGGGGCCGCCTCTGACCGACTGAGCCCCTGATGGAAGGAGAAAGGAGGGCAGACACAGGGAGCAGCATGGCTCCGGGTGGAGGTCGCTGGTACTGAGCTTGTCGATGGGGACGCGTGGTGCTGGGATGGCAGGGTTGTGGCCCCCCTCAGGGTCCTGGGCCTAGGCGTTAATAGGAAGGGGCGTGCATGACTGCAGAGGTCAGACTAGCCGCTCTCAGGTGAGACACTACTCTCTGTGCTGCAGTTTCTCCGTCTACTATGGAGATAATGTAAAGGTTTCATGAAGTTAGAGGCATGTGATAAATGGAAATAAACAAGGATGGGCCCCAGTCCCACAGAGACCTCAATGTTCCCTGGAACATACCACTTAACCTTGTATCTGTACAGCAGGAA